TTCCTCATACCTCGTCATAACTCAAATTTCTTTTAGTTGCGTAATAAATTTAACATAAACCAAAAAAAAACTCGTGATTCTTTTGTGTTAAATTGTAAATGGGTTTCTGATGTATGTGTGTTTACACTTTTACTTGGACGAAAAGTAACACCAACAGAGAGATTTTAGTAATCAAAGCCAATATTATGTGAAGTAAATGTTCACAAAGGAAAGACTGTTTTCAACTCTCATTTGTCGATTAATATATGAATGAATTACCGGATTGGGCTTTATTTCAGCAAAAATTATAGATTTGGGACAGATCGTCGGGACTCACGTTTTGGGCATTACTTTTATCATGGAATGACGATTTTACCCTTCAAAACTGCAACAACCTAACTCAAAGAAACAACAATCTAAACTCTAAATTCAATCAAATTTCAACTCAATTAGGCAAAAGAGAATGATCTCCAAAGAATATAGAAGATGGAGATGAAGATGAATTGCTGGAATTAAAGATGAATGGAGAAATAGCATTTCCGGTCATGAAAACCTCTCTCCGACGGTTACGCATTTACCCTTGGGTTTAGTCTATATTATCTAGGGTTTAGTTTTCTTTATTCAACACTTGATTAATTGAAAAGAGGGTTGTGTTTGGGGAAAGAGATGATGGTTGTCGTCAGAAAAAGGGTTGTGGTTTTGGGAAAGAAACGTGGGTTGTGCTCGGGGATAGGAGGAGGAAGAGATGTAGAAGACAAGGGTAAATGTGTAATTTCGTGTAGCCCAAAAGTACCTAAAACTGAAGCCCAGGTAAATAATCCCCTATCTAAAATTTTTGGCCCAATAAATGCCCAATTCAGTAATAATCCCATTAATATATATACATATATAGACTATAGAGGAACGGTTCTTACTATTTCAAAGAAAAAGCCGACAACCAATTCCGAACTTTTAATAATAAAAAAGGGGAAAACTGGATATAAAGGATAAATAATTAAATTATTGTCCATCTATGTATTCTATATTCCTAATTGGTCATATATTCTTTAAAATTGGTCATATATGCTTTGATATAATTAAAATCCCATTTATATCCTTTTTTTTTTTGTTAAATCTTGCAAAACTATAAAATTCCAAAATTAATTTTGATTACTTTCTAAAAATGTTTTGGAGAAAATATATGACAAAAATAATATTTAATTACTTTCTAATTTTTTTTTGCCGTAGATAATTTCAAATCTTCTTCCGCTTTAATTATTTTTTTTTACGGCTACTTCTTCTTTGATTTTCTCTTTTGGGACTGGCCATCGATATGTTGGACGATGTCAACATATACATGCACATCAAAGACATGTAGATAATCTACAGGAAATAACATCTGCTCATGTATTCATGACCGAATGGCAAAGTATGAACCTCCACAGCTAGATTATAATATAATAGAGATTGAGTGAAAAAACAAACACACAATGATTTATGCAACTTTTTTACATGTCAATTCACTTTTACGTTAGTTACTTTCAAATATTACGCCTAAAGTAAACCATAATTTTCCACAAATGTGGTACTTTTGTTAGTTTATAATTGAGTTTGGTTATATTACGTATTTTGTATTTTGTGTAAGTAGAGCAACACGTTTCACTAATGTTAAGTATTTTTCACGAAAAAGTTGCGTAGTTTCGTAATCTTAACTTTTTATATTCGATTTCCATATTTTATAATTTATTTTTCTTTTTAAAAAAACATTCTAAATTACATAGAATTTGTTTTCTATTTTTTTGTAGAATATATAGAAAAATATAAGAATGTGTTTTCTAACAATTTTAGAACATGGGTAAATGTTAGAAAACATATTCTAATTTTTCTAGAAGAAAGAGCAAAGTATAGAATATGTATTCTAAATTTCGTAGAATTTAGCATTCTAAAAACCATAGAACAGAAATGCGTTCTAAATTTTCTAGAACATGTAGAGTGTATAGAATACATTATCTAAATTTTATAGAACATGTACAATATATAGAATACACATTCTAAATTCAGAAGGCGTAGTCTAACTTCGTAGATCATATTTTATTCATCCAAAACGGTAAAAAAAAAATACTATATCTGCGATTTTAAAAGTATCCCCATGACTTCTTTATCA